CTTTATCCTCTGCACTCCGAGGCGAGGAGGGACGGTTGGCCTGAGCCGTTTGCTCTCATTATCTGAGTGGGCGAGAGCACAAAGCGGATGTGATCGGCCATTTGATTGAGGTTAAAGCCCGTTTTTGTGCTTTTCCTTGTGCCGCCGGCGCCCCTCCCGCCCCCTCCTGACCTCTCCTCTGGGCCGACTGGTGTCGGAAAGCTCCAGAGGGAGGTGCGGAGGGGTCAGGGAGGCGGCGTCCGGTCAGAATGGATGCATGAAGGGAAGAGGAGGGGATGAGCGGGGATACAGAGTGGTTGTGACAGGTGAGCTGATGAGACACACTCTGATCTCTTGATACAGCTTACAGAGGGACAACTTATTAAAATAAGGGGATAGATGCAGAGAGTAAATGAGTTGACCTAAAACCCATAGGTCACCCCCACCCTCCCTAGTTTGTGCGTGTGTGCTAGCGCCCTCCCCCCATGGTGATTGACAGCTGCCGCCATTGTCTCATTATGGTGCATTTTTCCCAGGCTCCTTAAAACTCTGATCTTAGAGTCTAGAAATATGGAGCCTAGATGATTACAGATGAAAGAAGGCTAGAAACTTAAATCTCACTGTTTAAAACATTAGTTGGCAGAACTTTACATGTTGGGTTTTAACCTAAATAATAGGGGTGCAGCAACATGTACCCATATCAAACCATTGAATACAGTGCTTTAGGTTCAACACACACAATGTGTCAAACAATACAGATTTTTTAAATTTATTTTATCAACTTGTCTTCTGAAGATGCTCTGTGTTGAAGGATCAGTGGATCTGTGTTCAACTACTCCACATAGGCTGCATTTTCGAGCTCAGATCCACTGAGAAACTTGATGTTTCAGCAACATTTAATTTAAAAACTGTACTTTTGAGGTTAAACAAATGTTCATAATTAATTTCAATAAATTACAAGTTAAGAAGGGCGTGGAAGTTTCTCTTTTGTGTATCAAAAAAATATCGAACCGTGAGACTRAAGTATCGTATCGTAGCACCCCTACTAAATAACCATGTAATGACTTTACAATTTAAAATGCGTTTGCACAGATTGAAACATCAAACACAACATTTGTAAAATGCTTTTAATCAATGATGAAGTGCAGAGTATTTAATATAATGTGAGGTTTTTGTATTGCTGAACCACAGAACTCCTCTGACCCTGAACTCTGCACCTTCATTGAGTCACTCGTGATAAAGGTCCTTGAGCTATTCAAGATAAAATGAACTGTTTTTTTTCTTTTTTTAATTCAATGGAACGTTTTGTCTTTATTTGGTCACCTTTGATTCACCCAGAGGTTACGCAACAATCGCGTCATCTGCAAACCTTTGATGAACTCGGGAGCTTAACATGGATTTTGGAGAGCGGAGACATAAAACTGAATGATAACTGCATCATGTGCTCTAATGGCGGCCGTTACAACAATAGCCACAGTGACCTGGAGGTACGGGCGGAGCGGGAGGAAAGGTCTTCTGCTCTGACCTCTGCTCAGGAAAGGGCAAGCTCAGGCAACAGTCAGGGCGTCAGGGGCTCGCCACCTCGTCTCTGCTCTGCACCGCCCACCCCCCGCACCCTCTATTGAAAGTCTAACACAACAGCCAAGCTTCGCTGGGACCCTGTGGGTGTGACACTCAACCTTTGCCTTAACCTCCTGACCGCCGGTCACAGCTGCAGCTGAGCGGCCCGGGAAGGTCAGGGTGCAGGGTCGACTGGAGGGGTGACTGATGGCTGAGAGATGAGCGAGGAATGGACGGAGGGGGGAGGAAAGATGGGAGAATTGATGACTGAGTGAGTGGTGAAATACATAGGACGGAGGGATAAAGAGAAGTTGCCGTCGGGGATGTCCTTCCTGACAACCTGGACTCGAACCCACAGCCTTAGGATTTTGAGACCATGGCACTGACCAGTTTTAATTTCCCAAATTAAYTGGGTTCATTTTGTTGATCCTGTTCTCTGATCCAGTTTTTTTTCTGCCTCCAGTCTGTTTCCCCTGAAAATTTTTATCTTTGAAAACATGTAAAGGTTTATTTTTTTCCAAGTTACTAACAGAAGAGAGATTTTTGCCTTTCAGTATAAGTAAACGTACTCTCATCTGCAGTGAGAAAAATGTTTTTTTTTCTTTTTCTTTTTGTAATTTGGTTGAGTTGACCTTTTAACTGAACTGTCAAGCGTGAAAGGCAAAGAACGTGAGACCGTGGAGGTGCAGAGAAGACAAATGGGCTTGCTGTACATTTTGTGTGCGGATCAGCTTTTGTCTCCACACCCCACCCTCCACCCTTTCTCTGAGCTTTGGCCCGACAGCRCAGTTGGCCCCGGCGGTAGCTTTACAGAGATGGATTTATGGGAAAATGAACATGTGCGCTTTCATCCAGCTCACACTTTCAGGGGGTCCAGACTTTGAGTCATCTGTAGGAATTCACAACTGTGCGATAAATACTTCTGAGAAATTAGGAATGTCTTGCCACTCTTCCCTAAAGGCCAGGATTGGGGAATGCACAACTAATAGCTGGRTTTGAGTCACGTGGCGATTTCAAATGCAGGCCAGGAAGTAAAATATCAATGGATATCGTACAAATTTAGAACCATTTTTAAGACAACTGGTAATTAGTTCACAAATATGTCAGACATGACCTCATAACTCATGAAGACAAGAGTTTTTGACAGAACCTAAAGATTTGCCAACAATCAAGTCTGTTGACATAAACTATCTGATTTGTCAGACATCTTACTACAGTAGATGATAGTTGTGCCCCAAMATCAGAATTGGGCCCGATACCCGAAAACAGTACCTTTCTTCTTATGTGAATGTTCACATTTTAAATGCGACCTCCATTAGAMCCCAGTGTGRACTCTTTATGCCRTCGATGTGACATGCACGCGCAGGAGATGACGTGATGTCACGTTCAACACACCGTTTACAGAAATAAACAGGTCGCTACCCGTGGATGCTACATGTTAGCATGTCGATACGGAAGTGCTTTTCAATCAGAGCTCATTAAATCATTATCTGACCTGCTTGTTTAGTTCAGTGTTTACATTTTAACCTGCGTCTGGTTGGCTACTCCGGTGAAGCGTGTATTTATGGAACGAAGCAACATTCTCGAAGTAAAGCTAACTCAAATATCGTTCCACTTAAGTTACGACATAGTCTGGTTAAAACCAGACCCTTGTCCTTCGCTTTGCTTCGTATGAGGGTCTGAACCCTCGGCTATAGAAAAGTGATTCTTGCTGGAGGCGTGGCCTCTGCTGAAGTTTAAAAATGATTGGATCGGTTGGCCGCGATGAATGTGTGCCAGCTCCACTGTGAAGGAGGCTAAGCTAAGACGCTAACCGGAAATCGTGTGCGCTGTAAACAACCCTACTGAGAGGAGAGAAGTGTTGAGCTGAATGAGACGACTGTAAATGAGAGCTGCTGCTTTGTCAGACAGATTTAATTTAATTTGGAAGCCTTATCAACACAGACTGGCTTCATTCACTTCCTCCACTGCCGTATGCTAAACTAACTAGCAGACACGGCACAGAAAATCTACGTTGTTGTTCAAAACTCCGCCTTCTGTTCTCTGATTGGCCCAGGTAAAATAACAAGCAGACACTGCGCAGAAAATTGACGTTCTGTTCTCTGATTGGCCTGAACAAGATTCTCCTGAAGAAATCCTTGTCTATGGGAGAAATCCCAGACGGAGCAGTGAAAGGAAACTAGAATTGAGCAGAACTGTGTAGGAAGGCAAGGGCCAGGCTAGTATCGACAAGGTGTGACACCAACATTATCATACATTTCTATGGATTCTCAGTCATCTAGGACATGAAAATTAAAAGAACAAAGGCTAAGCAACTTCACTTCTGTTCTGTAGCTGAAGACATACAGAGTTACAAGATTTAAACAGCATGGCTCAAGGTTAGTGTCCTTGTATTGATCTGTAAACCCCACCTCACTGACATAAAAGTCGAATAAAATGTGACATGAGCGTTCAGACTACAGTCACTTTGAAAACATCAGATATGTATCTGATTTAGTACCAGGTTCTAAATAAAAGAGTGTTTTATAATCATTGTGTATTATTCAAGTACTCCGTATCGGTACTCAATATCAGCAAGTTCCCGAACTGAAGTACAGTACTTGTACTTGTTTGAAAAGTGCTGGTATTGTTACCCCCTAGATGAAAGCCTATAAAAGTCTGAAGGCGTATAACCTTTTGTCAGCAGGTGGGTCCAGAACCTCAGTACCAAACGGCTCCATGATGATTAAAGTTTGGTCTTCACCCTCGCCAGGGTGTCTTTGTTCTTGTGTTTTATACGTTAAGATGCTAGCAGTAGCAGCTAACGTCAGCAAACATGCAACACATAACGACGTGCTAAAAGTCCAGATGACGTTCATCTTATTAGACTATTATTAAATTAATAATCACTACAAAGGAAATGAGTATTTCACTAACGCTTAATAAACACAGCCCCAAAATACAGTACATGTTAGTCAGCTAACATACCTAACGGCATTAGCAGACTCTGCTACTCCCAACTGCAGACATAGGTTTAAAATCCTTTATTATGGCGTTGTTCTGTGAGCTTTCTACTCACCTTTATGTATCTTTGGTACTCAATAATACCCCTTTCCTTTTTCTTGGTTAGAACGATTAGAACAGCCATAAATTACACAAAACATGGTCATTTTTTCAGACAGCAGATTCTCTGTTGCTTCACTTTCTGTCCTCCATCTTCATGTTACGCTCTCGCTGAACTGCATTATGAYGTCACGTGAAAGCAACCTATTACCGTGAGTTTCTTGTCTGTTTTTCTCAGGTTCATGTGCTCTGTCCACTTTTAAAGTCTTTATATTTTTATATTACTTACCCCTGCTTTAAACTTCACACCTTCATCCATGACATGTCTTCTGTGTTCCTTGGTCTGAGACCTTCACAGAAMTGCTGTATTTATACTGAGATTAAATCACACAGAGGGCTGAGTGCAAACACATGCCACATACTTTGACTTTTTTTATTTGTCAGACATTTTGAAGATTATTTATCGTTTTCACAACTATGCACTACTTTGTGTTGGTCTATCACATAAAGTACTTAATAAAAAGCTCTGTGCACAAATAATATAAAAAGACTGCAGCAGATTTTTAAAGGAGCATAATATAATTATTAGATTTGCACATTATGAATAACTTTTGATCATTAAGTCAAATTGTATTTTTATAAAACAGTCTCCTCCTTCCTCCACTCCACGGCCTCCTCTGCGTCGTTGGTCGCCTCGCTCTGGTTGTGTTGACTCTCCATCATGGCTGCCACCTTCTGCTCCAGCCTCCACACCTGCTCCCGGTACTTCCTGCGAATCTGTCGGTACGAGCTCAAGGCTTTGCTGGAAGGAGGGACGCCACATCTGGTTCAGTGCCTTTACAACATCCAGGAACCGTGCCTCCTTCAGCAGATTTACCTGTGAGCTTGCGTGAGGCGAGCGATCTGCTCCGCGTTGTCCTTCCTGCTGGGGGAGCCGTCTGACAGAGCGGTGCTCAGAGAGTCATGAATCATCCCCAGCCTCTTCTTCAGTGCTTGTTCCCTGAGAACAAACAACAGAAAACRAATAGTCAGAACACGTTGCTTGAGTCACTGAAGAGGATTACTTACGGCGTTAAAACAAAAAGTTGTGAAAAGAATTGCTTTTTTAAATATCATTTTGTCCCTGGCTTCACAATGTGTGTTTTTTAAAGAGGTATTCAAGGTATTCATCCCGCAAGGTTAGAGGAGAAAGAGGAAAGGTTCTGAAGCGCCGCACAGAGAAAAATAACAAGTTCTTTATGTCAAAGTCCGCTTTTCTTCTCGCAGCTGTTACTAAGCAACAGAACAAAACCAAGAAGGAAACTAAAATCTCACGCACCATCTTTTTATTCAGAGAAAATTCATGGTGTTTGGTAGAAAAGTATAAATTTCAAGCTTTGGTTTTATTTCTCTTTTAATGCTTTGTTAAAGTTTTTTTCCTTTTTACCTTCTTAAATGACTTTTTTGGACGTGTTACAGAAAGAAATGATGACTTGAATTGACCTGAGGTGATAGCTTACCACATTTTCTCCTCACCTAGAATCTTTTCAAGGCTAAATGTATAAAAGCAACAAAACCTCAATGGGAACTTTTATTGCAATAAAGGAGACATAACCTGCTTTTAAATCTTTCTTTTTCACGTTTAAGTCCTTAAGTTAGGGTCTAAGTGGAACTGCATTGCTTTGTCTGAATTCCTCCTTACTGTAACTCCACAAGCCCCTCCTTCACACGTTTTCTGAGAACCGTTCATTGACTTCCATTCATTTCCAGTAATTTCTACAGCCTAACCCTGACCACCAACCCTAACCCTAACCTCACAGGTACCTACCTGACCCTAACCCTAACCTTACAGGTACCTACCTGACCCTAAAACTAACCTAAACTCAATTCACACCTTGGTCCTAAACCAAAACCCCCAACCCAAAAATGGAGTTCCACCATATTACTGCTCCATGTGTGTGTGCTCAGTGCTTACATGTGTGATGGGTGAATATCTATCTATCTATCTATCTATCTATCTATCTATCTATCTATCTATCTATCTATCTATCTATCTATCTATCTATCT